GAAGGGCGTGTGCGCGGCGTGTGTCGAAGGAAAAATGGCTCGCAAGCCATTTGGTAGCCGAACGTCACCCCTCGCTAAGGACCCGCTTGCGCTTGTTCACATGGACGTGTGTGGACCGATGCGACATGCATCAAAGGGAGGAGCGCGGTTCCTCTTGGTGATGCTCGACGACGCGACGCGGATGTGTTGGACCCGACTCTTGAAGGCTAAGGGAGATGCGGCCAAGGCGATTCAAGAGTGGGCGCTCGATGTTTGCGACGACGACAAGAAGCGGATCAAGTGTATTCGCACCGACGGTGGGGGCGAATTCGTGAACGCGGAGCTTGAGAAATGGATGAAGAGCAAGGGCATAAAGCACGACGTCACGACACCCTACACACCCCAACAAAATGGAGCGGCGGAGCGGCTTAATCGCACGTTGGTGGAAGCCGTTTGTTCACTACTTCAACACTCCAAGCTTGGGAACGAGTGGTGGGGAGAGGCGAGTGCGCTAGCGGCATGGATTCGTAATTGTGTGCCGACAAAGGTGCTACCGGGAATGAATCCGTTCGAAGCATGGACCGGAACGAAGCCGAACCTATCCCGCCTACGCACCTTTGGGTGCCTTTGCTACTACCATATACCGGATCCTCTTCGCCACAAGTTGCAACCGAAAGCTCGTGCGGCGATCTTCTTGGGAGTTGCGCCAAACGAGCGTGCATGGCGAGTGTGGGACTTGGGTGAAAAGCGTGTCGTCACGTCTCGGGACGTGGTCTTCGATGAAGACAAGTTCCCGTCGAAGGAGAAACCCACTCAACAACTCACTTTCATCCTTCCGCCACGAGAGGAGGTTGAAGAGAGTGAGACTCCACCTCAAGTGGAGAAGGAAGCCGATGGAGGGGGAGAGAACAACGAGGAGAGCGTTGATGATGTTGTGGAGGTGTCACCTACCGAGGCGGCAACTACCTCCACACCTTCCTCCCTACCATTGGCCTTGACCCGCGAGCGTCGTGAGGTTCGTCCTCCCTCCAAGTACGCCGACTATGCTACGGTAGCCGTTGGGAAGTTGGATAAGGAGGGGGCGGCATTTTGCTTCGCAACGATGGGTGATGATGAACACATGGATCCTCTCATGGAACTACCCCCTAAAGTGTCAGAATCGTAGCTAGAGTTAGGAGCCATAGCTAGGTAAGTCCTAGCTAGGCAAGAGAAGTTTAGGCAAAAGAAGAAGAGTTCACTAGCAGCAATGAGGATACATATAGCAAACCCTAGATGGGTTGTACTCGCTATAGAGCACCCCACTACAGGCTAGAGAATAACATTCTGACACACCCCCATAGCCAAAGTGGGGTGTAATCAGTACAATGAGCAAGCAGGTATAGAGCAGGAGTTCACAAAGGTAAGCAAAGCTAGAGCTAATCACAGCGGGCAAGTGAGGAGGAGGAGGAGCTGTGGAGGTAGAGAAGATGGGAGGCAACGACTGAAGCTGCAGAGGCACGGGCACAGGAGCGGCTGACTCAGAGGCTACCGAAGCAAGGGCGACGGACTACTGGAGTAACTGGCTCGGCGGCTATAGAAGAGCGGCAGGAGCAACGGACCCACTGGCGACTGGTGCAGCAGGCTCACTGGCTACCGAAGCAAGGGCGACGGACTACAGGCGCTGCAGGCGACATGACAGGTACCTCCACACAACCTCCTCCAACTGCCCCACACCCTCGACACACACCCACTGCTCAAACCCTAGCTCCACTCCCACGCACCCCCCTAAAACCCTAAACCCTAGGCTCCCACACACCCACCCCCCTCAGCGGTAGCTGCAGCAGTGGGAGACCAGGGAGGAGGAGGAGCAAGGGGAGTAACACACAACCGCCACCCCCACACTCCTCACCCCCAAACCCTAATTCAGGAGAACGGGCAGCAGTAGGGGTGGGGCACCGTCAGAAGCACGGGGGACAGCGAGCAGCTCAGGGACAGAGAGGAACGGGCCGCCCACGGGCCTGGCACAGCCCGACGAACCGCGCGCAGGCGGCCCGAGCCGCGCGCGGGCCTGGCGCAGCCCGTACGGGCCGCGCGCGGGCCTGGCGCAGCCCGTACGGGCCGCGCGCGGGCCTGGCGCAGCCCGTACGGGCTGCGCGCGGGCCGGGCGCAGCCCGTACGGGCCGCGCACGGGGCTGGCGCAGCCCGCGCTGGCCAGGACGGGCGACGGGGGACGACGGGCTGGTCCCCGTCGCCCGTCGAAGTGCCCCCCGGGGGCGACGCGCGGACCGACGGGGCAGAAGGCCGCCGCGCGCCTCGGGGCGCACGGCGGGCAGAGAACCGCCGCACGCCCCGGGGCGCACGGCGGGCAGAAAACCGCCGCGCGCCTCGGGGCGCACGGCGGGCAGAAAACCGCCGCATGCTCCGAGCGCGCGGCGGGATGAAAAATCCGTCGCACGCCACGGGGCGTGCGACACAGAGAGTGGCAGTAGCAGCGGAAGCAGTGAGGTGGTGAGCCCACCCACAGGATCGACCCAAGGGGATCGACCTGCTCTGATAGCAGGTCAGAATCGTAGGTAGAGTTAGGAGCCATAGCTAGGTAAGTCCTAGCTAGGCAAGAGAAGTTTAGGCAAAAGAAGAAGAGTTCACTAGCAGCAATGAGGATACATATAGCAAACCCTAGATGGGTTGTACTCGCTATAGAGCACCCCACTACAGGCTAGAGAATAACATTCTGACATAAAGATCCGTCCCGTGCATGTTACGAGCATGTTGGATTGCACACCTAGTGGGTTGGGTGCAAGGGGGAGTGTTGGAGGTCGCGTGAGTTAGAAGCAAACGGTGGTGGGGCAATTGATATGCCCCCAACCCACCGAATGTGTTTCGGTGCTCACCGCTTGAGAGAGCTGCAGGTTTCACGAAGTGTGTGGGTTGACTTCGGAAGACCCACTCAATTGGTGCCACATGGCAACACAAGAAGGATCGAGACTAAGGAAGAATTCGGTTCGGTGAAATTCGGGTGCCGGATTTCACCCCTTCGAATTGTTACGCGAATGTTCTCGATGCATCTCGTATGTTATGCGCGACTCGATGTTTTGAGTAGCTATATATTGTGATTGCTTTGTATGCATGATATACTGAAATCCTGAATCTTCTTGTACATGGTCCATTCGAACCAAAATTCCAGAGAGGTTTATCCTTGCTTCTAAGAGCACTAGCAATCACGTGAACGCCAATATCTCGGCGTATACTTGGGCGATTAACGTGTTTGACGGCTTGTTGGAAAGCCAAGACTGTGCTCTATCGTTTAGTGCAACTTAGAGTTCCTGCAAAGTAGAGGAGACGCCTCTACAACAAAGCAGACCTCAGGTTCATTGCACATCGTCTGAAAAGAAGTGCTAGAAACGTCGCACTGGAGATGGACATGGGAGGGCGCAAAGGGCGGGAGGGAGAACGATTAGAAAACATCTGCCATCGTGGCGAGGGTGCCTCCCATCCCACTCGGGTCCTCTCACCTCCGCGAAGTTGGCACCATCGTCGCCCTGCTGCCATCCATCACGAGAGCAAATAGCCTAGAGGCTCCGAGAAGGCGTCAGCTGAGAGGCCGTCAGCTGAGAGGCACGATGGGAGCTATGAGGCATGCATCCTCCCACGGAAAATGCAGCGATGAGAGTCAGCGCTGGGAATCGCACGAATGGGAAAGCTATGCCCAGATTCACTCTGTCGCATCAGGGAAATAGCGCGAAAAATGCCATGCCGGGCGCGGATAGGCGAAGACGCGCATTTTGATTGATACGGAGCAGCGGCGCGTCCACCCATGGCGAGTGCTGGATAGAGAGGCAGCGATGGAGTTGCGGGCGCACGCGAAAACAATGGCACGAAGAGATGGCTTCGCCATCACGCCCCTCGCGTTCTTTTAACCTTGCTATAATTACATCCTTGCAGTAACTACATCGCATGCAAGCTGAAAGCGTAGGGGTCTCGCGAGGAGAGGATCATGGGTCCCAACGCGCACAGCGACGTCGTTAAATCTCGCACGCCGGCACTGCAATAAAACGGCGAACCCTCGGAGTTGCGCGTCGGCAACATCGCCTTCACGGCGCGCTACTATGGGGAGACTGGCGAGAGCGGCATGGTGCCGTTTGCATCCAGTCGAGCGTTTGGTGCAATGACATGCATTCATTCTCACGACACGTGACGGCACTATCGGCTGTCGAAGGCGGAGTAGCGCAGATCTAGCCGTTTGCGTGGCAGTACAAAACTACTACGGCTAGGTTCTGCCAGTTCAAGAAACCAGAGAAGCGAGCAAGATTACCTGGAAGACGAACTCGGCGATAAGGGACTCAGACGAAAGTCAATGAAAATTTGCGAAAGTCCAACGAATCGGACGAAAATCTCTCGGCAATCTGGAAACAGCTTTGCTGACGAATGCTCAGCTTTGTAACAAGAGACTCAGGATCTTCATTCCGGGATACAAGGTCTTTGCGAAAGGAGCGCCCACAAAAGAAGTTTCCGCATCCCCTTTCATAAGTTCGTGTGTGTTGTCTTGTTCGGTTTTCGCGCCAAAACCAACGGAACCTTTCCAACACCTCTCCCAAGCCAAACCAAAGCAAACCATACAATACGAAATCAGCCGAGCCGAACCCATGGGGTTTCACATTTGACATTTTTTGTTGCCTGACCAAGAAAACCTAACGCGGCAATCTCGCAAACGGTCGTCTCAACGGAACTACCTGTGATGATCCAACCTTATTATGATCGAGTCGCGAACTCAAATTAGCGGCCTGCAGCCAAGTCTCTAAGAGTGAACACGTCGCGTACTGTGAAAATTCAATTACCTCGACCTCATTCGTTTTGGGATGAAGGCATAGCGGCGGAGGCATGGGCGCGAAGGAGGAGGATGGCGGAGGATTTGTTCCGCCCGCCGAGCGAGAGGTGCGCGGAGCAAGCGGGTGAGCGGGGACGCACCCAACCATAACCCCTGTTCTCTCCATCTCCTCTCCCCCCATTTCCCTGCCCCCCTTCCCCTCCTCACGTCTCGAACCATGCTGACTGCCGTCGCGCCTCTCTACCCGCTCCTTGCTATCCCCTCTCCCCTCCCTTCCTGCATCACGCCCGTAACCCCTGCTTTCCCTTTCCCCTCTCCGGGTCTCAAACATGCTGACTGCCATCGCACTCCCCTCCTCCTGCTCTTCGCTATCCCCTCTCCCCGCCCTTCCTGTATCACGCCCGTTACCCCTGCCCCCCTTTCCGAGTCTCAAACATGCTGACTGCCCTCTCCTCTCCTCTCCTCCCCTCCCCTCCTCTCCTCTCCTCTCCTCCCCCACAAATCCCCGCCCCTTCGTTCACCCTGCCTGTCGCGCCCCCCTGGCAGGCGTGGGTGGCCCCGAGTTCGCGCTCCTCTCCTCCCCTCCCCCACAAATCCCCGCCCCTTCGTTCACCCTGCCTGTCGCGCCCCCCTGGCAGGCGTGGGTGGCCCCCCTGGCGGCGCAGCAGTGGGGGCAGACGACCACCGCCGGCATCGCTGACTGCCATCGCGCTTCTCTCTTCCCCTCATACCCGCCATCCCCTCCCCCTTTCCTGGCAGGCGTGGGTGCCGGCCTTGGCGGCGCAGCAGTGGGGGCAGACGACCACCGCCGGCATCATTGCCGGCATGATGCTGGGGGCCAGCCGTGAGGCCGCTCGTACTCAGGTGAGGTGTACTCCACTTGCTGATTGCGCACCCAGGTGAGGTGAGGCACACCCAGGTGAGGCACACTCACGTGAGGCGCACCCAGGTGAGGCACACCCAGGTGAGGCACACCCAGGCGAGGCACACCCAGGTGAGGCACACCCACGTGAGGCGCACCCAGGTGAGACACACCCAGGTGAGGCACACCCAGGTGAGGCGCACCCAGGTGAGGCACACCCAGGTGAGACACACCCACGTGAGGCACACCCAGGTGAGGCACACCCACGTGAGGCACACCCAGGTGAGGCACACCCAGGTGAGGCACACCCACGTGAGGCACACCCAGGTGAGGCACACCCACGTGAGGCGCACCCAGGTGAGGCACACCCAGGTGAGGCACACCCAGGTGAGGCACACCCAGGTGAGGTGAGGCGCACCAAGGTGAGGCGCACCAAGGTGAGGCGCACCCACGTGAGGCGCACCCAGGTGAGGTGAGGCGCACCCAGGTGAGGCGCACCCAGGTGAGGTGAGGCGCACCCAGGTGAGGTGAGGCGCACCCAGGTGAGGTGAGGCGCACCCAGGTGAGGTGAGGCGCACCCAGGTGAGGTGAGGCGCACCCAGGTGAGGCGCTCCCAGGTGAGGTGAGGCGCACCCAGGTGAGGCGCTCCCAGGTGAGGCGCACTCCACATGTTGATTGCACCCAGGCGAGCCGCACTGCTCGCGCTACCTGGCACGCCTGGCCCAAGCTGGAAGTTGGCAGCGAGGGGTACAAGTGAAGTGGGTCGAGAGGCGGACACGATTGGGGCTTGGGTCGTTAAAGTGCAGAGGTCAGGTGAGATGCGGTGAGATGCGGTGCCCCAAGGATCCAAGTTCATAGAGGAGTACGACTTTTGAGGCGCCTCAAAAGTTGCCCCAAGGATCCAAGTTCATAGAATCATAGTGGAGTAGCAGCAAACCTGTAGGAAACGCTTAAGCAAAAAGGATCGAGACTGGAAAAATGCTTCCCAGAATTTCAAGTATTTCTCGAAACCTCCAAACTTGTAAGAACCGTTATTCGCAAACTAGTGTTGGCCTTGGGGACAGAACCCCGCTAGGCCTTCATCAGTGCTGCTTTCAGAGGACAGGTGAGATGCGGTGCTGTGAGGTGACCGGCGCGGGCAGAGCAGGTGGGAGTGGCGCATAGGCACATTGGGTGCCCAAAAGCGAGTTCGTGGGTGGCTGCAGCAGGGCACTCTTTGGTCGCCACGCTTCTTCCTTTCTTCCAATCCCCATCACCTGAGAGAGGCGGCAGCTGAGAGGGGCAGCAGCTGAGAGGGGCGGCAGGTGGATTGGTGCTTCTGTGATTTTGATGTGATACTCCTTCCCTTCACCATTCCTTCCCTTCCCAATACCCCCCAGGCCTCCTCTCCGTTTTCAAGTCACCACAGCCACCATCAGCAGCACACAACACCACCCTCCACCGCAGCAGCAGCCCCCCACGCCCCCCCTCACGCCCCCCCTCACGCCCCCCCCTCGTCGCGCTACGCGGCGGCTCGGCTGGCAGCGGAGCGGCGGCTGGTGAGGGTGGTGAGGGCGTCGGTGGCGGGCGGCGCACAGCTTGGCGCGCTGGCAGGCGTCTTCTCTGCCTCGCAGCTGGGCCTCCGCGCACTCATGCTGGCGTGGAGAGGAGAGCAGCAGGGGTGTGGCAGCAGTAGCACTAGCAGCGGCAGCAGTGGCGAGGGCAGTGGCAGAAGTGGGAAAGAGGGGGGAGGGGACGTGGGGAGGGGCAGCAGGAGGGGGTGGCAGGGGGAGGAGTTGTGTGAGCCTGACGTGGCCAGCACTGTTGGCGCTGGTGCCGTGACAGCTGGGCTTGTGGGATTAGCTGGTGAGTCATTGACGATAGTGGGATTAGTTGGTGAGTGAGTGGCGATAGTGGGATTAGTTGGTGAGTGAGTGGCGATAGTGGGATTAGTTGGTGAGTGAGTGGCGATAGTGGGATAGTTGGTGAGTGAGTGGCGATAGTTCTTCATGCCTTGTTGCGTTGCACTCCTTTTCCCATTCACATCACACCCCCACTCACTCACTGACATTCACATCACACCCCCACTCACACTCACTGACATTCACATCACACCCCCACTCACACTCACTGACATTCACATCACACCCCCACTCACACTCACTGACATTCACATCACACCCCCACTCACACTCACTGACATTCACATCACACCCCCACTCACACTCACTGACATTCACATCACACCCCCACTCACACTCACTGACATTCGCACTCAGCCTCACGATCCTTTCACTCTTTGAAGGGGACTTGTTTAGAATCGGAATGAGATGTGGGGCATGGGAGCCGAAGGGGTAACAAAGCATGCGAGAGAAGCTGGTAGAATATAGGGACTTGGCAGCAAATGGGTTGAATCAGTCAGTCCTTGACGGTAGAGTTACCGGTAGCATTACTGGTGAGTCAATGACGACAGTTTCTAGTTTTCCATGGTAGAGCTGTCATACATGGTGCAGGCCGTAGCGGCCTTCTGCGTGGTGCTGCTGGCGCTGCAGTCGGCGCTGGTCATGCAGTCGGCGCTGGTCATGCAGTCGGCGCTGGTCATGCAGTCGGCGCTGGTCATGCAGTCGGCGCTGGTCATGCAGTCGGCGCTGGTCATGCAGTCGGCGCTGGTGCCGCATGTGGTGAGCGCGGCCACAGTGAAGTTGTCGCTCAGGAAGAGCGAGCGCAACAACATTGCATATCCGTAGACATGGTATAGTTGGTGAAATTCTCTTAGGTACTACTAGGAGGACTGGTAAAGTTGAAGAAGGGAGAAAGAAGCATGCATCATGCAACACCCGCATGGGCATGAGGGGCACGACAAGGGAGGCGGAAGAAATACGGAGGGAGAAACACAGGGGAAGGCGCGGCCAGAAAGGCTGTGAGGAATGCGAGTTGTGGTAAGTACCATTCAACCCATCTAGCATATAGCTACGGAACGACCTGACCGCGGCAACCCGATCACCATGGTCAGGTCCTTCCGACCTGGCAAATAGGTACGTGGACCTGCCCGTGGTGATGAGGGTGGACGCCATGAGGAGACGAGAGTCATGGTGATGGTGAGAGTCATGGTGATGGTGAGAGTCATGGTGATGGTGAGAGTTGGAGCAGACTCAGAATGTGAGTGCAACCTCTCTTGAGGCGTGTCAAAAGCAACCTCTCACAGCGCTTGCATGCTCATGGCATCATTGTGCACCGGCTTGACCTGGTCTCAGCGTGAGGGTGAGTATGTTTTTTTAGAATTCCCAAAAAACATACTCAACATGGCATCATTGTGCACCGGCTTGACCCAGTCTCTGCGTGAGGGGCGAGAGGGCGAGGCGGGGCAGGGGAGCAGGGCGAGGTGAGTCAGCAGAGGAGAGCCCATTCGGAGAGAGGCGGTCTTTATGCTGCATGGTTGTGAGCCGTGAACACAAAAAGGATGAAGAAGAGTGGATGAAATCAAATTACAATAAGAAGTATCCCTCTCAGTCAAAGAGGAGTGTGAAAGATGCTATGAGGAGAGGAACGGGAGGCAGCAAGAAATGGGAGTCCCACCAACTCTCGTGATCACGACCTTGAGAGCAGCTACAGGAGTCCCACCAACTTTCTAGTCTGGTCTTCCACAAAAGACGACGAAATACACTCGTGTGCAGCACATGTTTGCCAAAACTTGGCACTCTAAATTCCACAACTTCCACACTAGCTGGTTTCTACAGTCTTTCTCTTCCTGCTGCCACTGACTAATTTGTGTACTGCTGTTCTCCCTCCAGTACAGCTTTCCTCAGATCCCACCAACCCCACCTCCCCTCGCGTCCTCCCTGCTTCTTCCCCCTCAGCCACCCGTGCCTCGCCCGCCCATCGCCTCAAGGCGGCTGCTCTGCACACCGTGGCCGGTGCTGCCCTCGCATTCCCCCTGGGTGAGCTGCACCACACTTGCACCACACTTGCACCACACTTGCATCACTGGGGCCTGCTGCCATGCCCCCTTGCATCACTGGGGCCTGCCGCCATGCCCCCTTGCATCACTGGGGCCTGCCGCCATGCCCTCGTGCATCACTGGGGCCTGCCGCCATGACCCCTTGCATCACTGGGGCCTGCCGCCATGCCCCCTTGCATCACTGGGGCCTGCCGCCATGCCCCCTTGCATCACTGGGGCCTGCCGCCATGCCCCCTTGCATCACTGGGGCCTGCCGCCATGCCCCCTTGCATCACTGGGGCCTGCCGCCATGACCCCTTGCATCACTGGGGCCTGCCGCCATGCCCCCTTGCATCACTGGGGCCTGCCGCCATGCCCCCTTGCATCACTGGGGCCTGCCGCCATGCCCCCTTGCATCACTGGGGCCTGCCGCCATGCCCCCTTGCATCACTGGGGCCTGCCGCCATGCCCCCTTGCATCACTGGGGCCTGCTGCCATGCCCCCTTGCATCACTGGGGCCTGCCGCCATGCCCCCTTGCATCACTGGGGCCTGCCGCCATGCCCCCTTGCATCACTGGGGCCTGCCGCCATGCCCCCTTGCATCACTGGGGCCTGCCGCCATGCCCCCTTGCATCACTGGGGGCATGTCTACATGCCCCCTTGCACTCACTATAACATGTCTTCATGCCCCCTTGCACTCACTATAACATGTCTACATGCCCCCTTGCACTCACTATAACATGTCTCCATGCCCCCTTGCACTCACTATAACATGTCTCCATGCCCCCTTGCACTCACTATAACATGTCTCCATGCCCCCTTGCACTCACTATAACATGTCTCCATGCCCCCTTGCACTCACTACAACATGTCTCCATGCCCCCTTGCACTCTCTATAACATGTCTCCATGCCCCCTTGCACTCACTATAACATGTCTTCATGCCCCCTTGCACTCACTATAACATGTCTACATGCCCCCTTGCACTCACTATAACATGTCTCCATGCCCCCTTGCACTCACTATAACATGTCTACATGCCCCCTTGCACTCACTATAACATGTCTCCATGCCCCCTCGCACTCACTATAACATGTCTACATGCCCCCTCGCACTCACTATAACATGTCTACATGCCCCCTTGCACTCACGATAACATGTCTCCATGCCCCCTTGCACCCACATGCCCACTCGCCTTCACTCATGGACTGCCTTTGTATGGTCTGCCACACTTTTTCTCTCAACCTGCTTCCCCCTCCAGCTTGTATTGTGCCAAACCTGCTCCCACCCCACATGTCAAAGCTGCTCTCACGTACCAAACCTAATCTAAGATGCCAAAACATGCTCACATACTAAACATGCTCACATGCCAAACCTGCTCTCACATGCCAAACCTGCTCTCACATGCCAAACCTGCTCTCACATGCCTAGCCTGTTCTCAAAAGCCACACCTGCTTTAACGTGCCCTCGCTGGGACATGTTCGCACTTGCCTGGCTGCAATTCAATTTGTCCTCTTTATTGCTGTGCCCCCTTCCCATCATCTTCCCCTCCCTAACCCATTCCCCCTCCCCCCTCTCTCTTTGTGCCCCACCTGCAGCCCTCCTGCACTCAGCGCTCTACTCCTTGCTGCCACAGCAGTACAGCACAACAGCAGCACACGGCAGCAGTGCAGAGGGAGAGGGCGCTCAGGGGATTCCTCAGGAGAGACCTGAGGCGGACTCTCAGGTGGGCAGTGGCAGCAGCGGCGGCGGCGGTGTGGCGGGTGCCATTGAGCGCATGGAGCAGCGATTCATGGGGTCGTTTGGGCACTTGGGGAACAACGACGGAGGAGGGAAGGAAGGCGGCGGGGATGTAAGCACCCTGCCTGAGGATGGAGATGGAGAGATGGGGCAGGAATATCCGGAGGGGGAGACAGGTGAAGCGGCAGAATAAACTCAAGGAAGAAGTGGCAGATGAACCCGTGGGGAGAACAGCGGTGATGAATGTGAGGAATGTGCAAAATAGCGTTTTGCAGGATCCGAATTGAACACAAGTCGCAATTGTTCCCCTGTTCGTTGACATACGTACTAGTAGACACTGGTACTAAATTCGGGTGATTACGTATAAGTCTTGGGCTGTGGGGGATGGAATGGAAGGGGAAGAAAGGGAAGAAGTGAGTATGTAATGTGCAAGTATATGAGTGCCTTCCTTGACATGACACATCTGAATCCTGTATCTTACACACTCAGGGTCCCATCTAGCTGGTGCATGATTGAGATAAGGTGTTAGAATTGAACCATAGAGTTGATTAGGAATCATACGGGCTTACATAGTTGAAGCTAGGGGAGGGGGGGTTGGTTGGGTACCTAGTCATCATTATTGGCCCCCCACCAATAAGATAGGTTGGAGAATTATTGGGGGGTCCCAATAATGTTGGCCAAAAGTGGGCCAACATTATTGGGGGGGCCAATAATCTCTCAACTCAACCTTGGGGGCCAATAATTGGACCAAGGTTGGGTTCCAACCCCCAACTAGGGTTAACCCTAGTTGTGCACCCAAACATAGTTTGGGTGCCTATCTCTGTCCTAGGGTTTATAGGATCAATGCAGGATACAGAAGAGTAGTATAATCTAACACAACCCCTTAGCCTGCATAGATCTATAAACCTGGATGAGATAAGACAGCAACCCCTGAATCAGTCACCATGGGGAGCAAGGCCCAGGAGCGGCAAAATTGCCGAGTGAGTAGAGTGGTCGAGGGCCTTAGTGAATATGTCGGCGGGGTTGGAGGAAGAGTCGATCTTGCGCACGGTAATGTGGCCATCCTGGACAAGATCACGGACAAAGTAGTGTCGGAGCTCGATATGCTTGGAGCGACCATGGAACACAGCTTCTTTGGTGAGGTGGATGGTGCTGGCGTTGTCACACCAGAAAGTGGGACAAGGCTGTGGTGAGCCAAGGTCTGTGAGGAGATAGCTGAGCCAGCGTGCTTCCTGTGCTGCCATCGTGACCGCGTACAGTTCAGCCTCGCAGGAGGAGAGGGCGATGGAGGAGGAGCGGGTGGAGCGCCAGCTGATGAGGCCGCTCCGAAGGGTGAAGCCATATCCTTGTGAGCTGCGACGATCAGGCTGTGAGTCTGCCCAGGACGAGTCGCTGAAGCCAGTGAGAACCGGCGGGTCTGCTCCACCAAGGGTGAGGGTGTAATCCTTCGTGTGCTGAAGGTAGCGTAGGACACGTCGGGCTGCCGTCATGTGTTCCTCCGTGTGCCTGCCGACACCAACGAATCGCGCCAGAACACTGACTGGGTAGGCAAGGTCGGGGCGGGTGCAGACCATGGCGTACATCAGGGTCCCGACAAGTTCTGCATAGGGGTTAGAGGAGTCGGTGGGGGTGGCAGGGGGCGAGAGCTGGTGCCCAACTGCAAGCGGGGTGGCGATGGGCTTGGCTTTTGACATTCCAAACCTCTCAAGGACCTTCTCAATGTAGAAGGACTGAGAGAGGGAGATAGTCTTAGCCTTGAAGTCGCGGGTGATCTCCATGCCAAGGTAGTTGCGGACCTCCCCCAGGTCTTTGCAGGCGAGGCGACGTTGTAGTTCGTCCTTGACCTCCTGCATCTCAGCATCTGTGTCAGCGGCTAGTAGCATGTCGTCGACGTAGACGAGAATGTAGAAAGGGGACGGAGTCGTCCGAAGGAAGAGGCTGGAGGCAGCTCGGGAGGGGCGAAAACCAAGCTCGCGAAGGGTGGAAGAGAGCTTGGCATGCCACTCCCGGGGTGCCTGCTTGAGGCCGTAGATGGGTCGGAGCAGCTTCCAAACGGTGGATGGGTCATGTGGAGCGTGAAAGCCTTTGGGGCGTTCCATGAAGATGAGTTCGTGTAGGTCGCCTTGGAGGAAGGCGGTAGTGACATCCATGGAGTGTAACAGCATGCCGCGTCTGCCGACGAAGTCGAGGAACACCCGAACGACCGGTGGGGTAGCAGTGGGTGAGTATGTGTCGAAGAAGTCAAAGCCGTGCTTTTGCGTGAAGCCCTTCGCCACATAGCGAGCTTTGTAAACAGGGTCTTCGCCAGGGAGAAGCTTGACACGGAAAAGCCATTTGCCCTTGACGACATTGGTCTTGGCAGGGCGAGGGACGTCGATGAAGGAGCGGTTGTGGATGAAAGCGTTGCTCTCCTTGACCATGGCTTCAATCCAGAGTGGGGCGTCGAGGCACGCAATAGCCTCCTCGTACGTGGTGGGTTCGAAGATGGTGGGGGTGCCCGAGAAAAGAAGAATTGGAGTGCCTGCCATGGTGCGGACGATGGGGGCGATGGAGGGCGCGAGGAGGTGGAGGAAGAGGAGTTCGTCGTGGGTGTCTTCGTAGAGGAGAGGAGAGAGAGGAGGAGGTAGAGGGGGTGGTGAAGATGCAAGACAGCTGCGCTGGAGGTCGAGTCTTGGACATTGAAGTGCTGCTGCTCGGCTGCGCGGTGGTGCAGTAAAGAGCGTGGAGCGGTTGCGCAGTGGATCTGGAGTGAGGGGGCTGAAGCGGGGGGGGAGGGGAGTACCGATGAGGGCGAGGAGGGAGGGGGGGGAAGTCTGTGGGGAACCAAGGATGGGGTCCAGGGAGCGGGTGTGGGGATAGCGGGGAAGGACAAGGGTAGGGGAGGGGCGCTGGGGAAGGGGGGGGGGAGGCGGAGGGGGGGCCGGATTAGAGGAGGGGAGGGGGGATGGAGGGGAAGGGGGTGGGGGAGGTGGAGGAGGGGGGAGGAGGAGGAGGGAGGTGGGTTGCAGCGGAAGGTGAGGTAGTGGAGTGGGAGGGGGAGGGGGGGGGTGGGTTAAGGATGTCGCCGGAGGAGCTGGAGGAGAGGGGAGAGGGGAGAGGGGGGGAGGGGTGGGGGAGGGGGGGGGAGGGGTCATGGCAGGGGACGGGAGGAGGGGCAGGGTGTCAGTCCAGAGAAGGGGCCGGGGAAATGGGGGAAGGGGGTTAGGGGCGGAGGGGGAGGTGTAGTACGGGGTGGCCTCGTCAAAGACCACGTCCCGACTACGGATGAGGCGGCCTGAGGGGGGGTGGAGGAAAAGGTAGTCGGGTGAGTTGGTGTTGTGTCCAAGGTAGACACAGGGGAGTGTGCGGGACGCAAGCTTTCCACGTGCGCGTGAGCGGTCAGCAGGGTGTATGAGGACATACGCCTTGCAACCCCAGACGCGCAGAGGAGATATGTCAGGCTTGCTGGAGGTCCATAGTTCGGTGGGGGTGGAGGTGGGATGGGAAGGGTGGGGGTAGAGGTTAGTGAGGATGGCAGCATGAAGGATGGCATAGCCCCACAGAGAAGGTGGGCAGGAGGCGTGAACGAGGAGGCACCGAGCCGTTTTGGTGATCTCCCGCACGCGGCTCTCCGCCACACCATTCTGCTGAGGAGAGTGAGGGAGAGTGTAGGTGTGTAGGATGCCGTGAGTGGTGCAGTAGGAGGACAGGGTGTGGTTGAGGAACTCACCGCCTCCATCGGAATGGAAGCGGCGAACAGGGCGACCGAAGTGGTTGCGTGCTTGTTCAGCCCAGGCAGTGATGGCAGCCGGGGCCTCCGCCTTCGTACGAAGGAGGGTGACGGAGAGTATCGACTGTGATCATCCACCAGGATCAGGAGATAGCGATGTCCTTGCTTGGTGGGGGAAGGGTTAGGGCCCCACATATCCATGTGAACGAGGTCAAGGGGTTGGAGGGAAAAGGAGGGGTTACTCGTGTGTGGTTGTTGCTTCAGCTTGCTTTCAACACAAACTGAGCAAGGAGGGGAGGGGGACGGAGGGAGGGGGGGAAGGGTAAGGGGGAGACCGTCAAGGAGTTTAGTGAGGATGGATCGGCGAAGGGTGGCAAAGTTGGGATGGCCTAGGCGATGGTGGAGGAGAATGGTGGGGTGTGTGAGATTACGACAGTGACAGGGGGAGGGTGGGTTAGATGGGGGGGGGGGGGGGGAAGGGGCGGGGGGGAGGGGGAGGGGGAGGGGGAGGGGGGAGGGGGAGGGGGAGGGGGAGGGGGAGGGGGAAGGGAGGGGGGAGGGGGAGTTGGAGGGGGAGGGAGAGGTTCGAGAGGAGGGGAGGGGGCGGGGGGATGGGGTGTGGAGAGTTGGTGAAGGGTGGGGCGGGGGATGCGGAAGGTGTACATGTGGGTGGAGGGGCACCGATGGACACGGCAGAGGAAGCGACCGGAGGGGGTGTGAAATAAGTCACAATATGCTGCGTGACCAGGAAATAAGGCGGTGACACCTGCCATTGAGAGGGCACCAAGGGAAACCAGGTTGTTACGAAGGGAGGGGACATAGAGACCTGTGACAGTACCTGAGGGAAAGAGGGGACAGGGGAGTGTGGAGGTGTAACGGCTTTGTATGGCAAAGCTTGAGTCAGCCCCATAGATTGTGGAGGGGGTGGAGAGGGGGAGGAGCGTGCCTGCATCACGAAGGACCGTGTGGGTGGCACCGCTGTCAAGGATGAACTCAAGGGGCTGGGAGGAGGAGGACACGGAGTCCTGGAATGAGGACTCATTAATAGCATTGGCATACATAGGATTATTGCAAGAGCTAGCAGTGGTGACATGACCTATGAATCCTGTGGAAGGAAACGGTGTGAAGCCGGGGGGGTGAGAGGAGGAGGTGGGTTGTTCAGTAGTTGCAGCAGTTGCGGCAGTTCTATGGCCATACATAGATGGGGGGTAGGGAGGGTAGGGCCAGCCGGCATAAGGAGGAGGATAGAGAGGAGGATAGGGGGAGGGGGGGGTTGGAGGTGGGGGCGTGGGTGGAGGCGGAGTGGTGAGGGTGGAGGGCGTAGGGGTGGTGGTGGGTGTGGGAAGAAGGTGTTGGACTTGCTGGAGGATGTGAGGGGAGAGGTGCTGAGCGAGGACATTATGGAGGTTAGGTGGAGAGGGTGCATAGGTGGAGAGGGTGCGAATATCATGAGGGGTGGGGCAAGGGGTGATAGTGTTCCAACGTGGAGGGGAACCTGTGTTGCCGCGTGCAAGCCATTCATCAGTGAGGGCTTTGAAGCACGTTTCAGTTGGATGAGTGGTCTGGTTGCAGGTCTGACCTTTGTTGGGGCCTTGACGAATGACGTGCTGACACGGGGGAAACCCACCCGTGGATGGAGCAGTTGCTCCACGTCCGCCGCGTTCCCCAGTGCGCCCTCCTCGTCCGCCTCCGCGACCGCCTCCTCGACCTCCTCCACTTGAACCACGTCCAGGTCCGCTGCTGCTGCTTCCGCCAGTGTTATTGGTTCCTTTGCAAGCGTGAACAACATTGACCGTTGCAGAGTCACGCAGGAGGTCAGCCTCACTGTCAAGGAGCCAGTCGATGGTAACAGCTACAGGGGGAGGACGAATGTGCTGGGAGGTGAAGTTGATGCGGTAAGTGTCATAGGTGGGTGGGAGGCAGTCAAGGATGCGTGCTGTAAGAAGGGTGTCTGAGATCAAGATGCCTCGATCATTGAGGCGTTGCGCAGTGTCCGTGAGACGCCGAGCGAAGGAGGCAGCATTGAGGGAGGAGTCAAGGGTGATGTCTTGGAAGGTGCGAAAGAGGGAGAGGAGTGAGCGTAAGTCCTGACGGTCATATTGGGCGGAGAGAGACTTCCAGAGAGAGGGAGAGGATGGAGGGCGAAGGTCACGTTTAAGGGAGGAGGGAACGCACGAGAAGATGACAGTGAGTGCACGGCGGTCAGCAATGCGCCATGCAGCAGTATCGGAGTGATGCTTACGAAGGTTAGTAGAGTACGCTTCGGAGATGGCTTTGAACTCTGCAAGCTTTGCAGTAGCAGCTTCGTGAGCGGCGACAGCAGCCGCGTGTCCTCTGCCCTTGATGACGTAGTCGTCTCGCTCCTTGTTGTACTTGTTGAGGGTGCGAGCCCACCTGTCTGGGTCATCCTCCCAAGCCCCTAGGATGGGGGCTTGAGGGGCGGGTTCGGTCGGGAGTGGTGGGGCGTCAAGAGGGGAGGAGCCTGGGAGCGGGGGCAGGGTGGGAGGGAGGCCGTGAGGCGTTTCGAGGACGACGTCAAGAAGGCAATAATCTCCCACTCGGACGGAGCCAAGGTACGTGAAGAGACTCTCCTCAAACGACACCCAATTGACTGCGGTGGTGCCGTTGAGGAGCTCGAGTTTGTCAATCGAGGCGAGCTCAAGCGACGAAGGTTCGTCCGCCATAACGAGTGAGGGAGGAGGGGGGGGGGGGGGGGGAGGGGGGGGGGGGGGAGGGAGGAGGGGAGGGTGGAGGTGCTAGAGGTGACGACGCTGTCCGGAGGGACGGCGCGGTCAGTGGTGGGGATGAGTTGCGTGCTGTCCGCAGCTGGGTACTCCCCCGTCTGGTCGCGTTCGCGGCTGCCCGCGTTCGTCCCGTCCGCGGCTGCTGCCCGCGTTCGTCCCGTCCGTAGCTGCTGCCCGCGTTCGTCCCGTCCTCGGCGGTTTCCCGCGTTCGTCCCGTCCGCGGCGGTTGCCCCCGTTCGTCCCGTCCGCGGCGGCTGCCCGCGTTCGTCCCGTCCGCGGCGGCTGCCCGCGTTCGTCCCGACCGCGGCGGCTGTCCACGGACGGGCAGCGCGGACGTCGCGGCCGCCCTCGTCGTGGGCGCGGGCGGCGCGCCCGCGCTGCCCGTCGGCGCGGACGTCGCGTCCGCCCTCGTCGTGGGCGCGGGCGGCGCGTCCGCGCTGCCCGTCGGCGCGGACGTCGCGTCCGCCCTCGTCGTGGGCGCGGGCGGCGCGTCCGCGCTGCCCGTCGGCGCGGACGTCGCGTCCGCCCTCGTCGTGGGCGCGGGCGGCGCGTCCGCGCTGCCCGTCGGCGCGGACGTCGCGTCCGCCCTCGTCGTGGGCGCGGGCGGCGCGTCCGCGCTGCCCGTCGGCGCGGACGTCGCGTCCGCCCTCGTCGTCGGCGCGGGCGTCGCGTCCGCGGTTGTCGGTTGCGGTCGTCGCGTCCGCGGCTGACGGTCGCGGTCGTCGCGTCCGCGGCTGACGGTCGCGTTCGTCGCGGCGGACGGTCGAGGGGAGGAGGGGAGCGCCGAGATGGCGCGAGGGGCACAGCAGAGCCGGCGGAAGTGCGCTAAGTTGCGCGAGAGGCGCGGCAGAGCCGGGGAGAGGTGCGCTAAGTGGCGCAAGAGGTGCGGCAGAGCCGGGGAGAGGTGCGCTAAGTGGCGCGAGAGGCGCGCTAAGTGGCGCGTGAGGCGCGCTAAGTGGCGCGTGAAGCGCGGCAGAGCCGGCGAGAGGTGCGCTAAGTAGCACGAGGGGTCCTAGGATCTTGAGCGGCGTTGGCCGTAAGAGCTCTGATAACCATGTTAGAATTGAACCATAGAGTTGATTAGGAATCATACGGGCTTACATAGTTGAAGCTAGGGGAGGGGGGGTTGGTTGGGTACCTAGTCATCATTATTGGCCCCCCACCAATAAGTTAGGTTGGAGAATTATTGGGGGGTCCCAATAATGTTGGCCAAAAGTGGGCCAACATTATTGGGGGGGCCAATAATCTCTCAACTCAACCTTGGGGGCCAATAATTGGACCAAGGTTGGGTTCCAACCCCCAACTAGGGTTAACCCTAGTTGTGCACCCAAACATAGTTTGGGTGCCTACCGTATTCTCCCGGACATAGCACCCTAGGGTATAGCTAAAAATACAGGGAAAAAATGGGGGGGGTCTCCTCATAGGAAAAAAATACATAATACCCGGGTCTTTACATATGGTATATTTTAGTGTTAGTGATTATTTAATTAGACAATGTGGGTGTTTTGATTTTCATTTTAACATCACTGTCTGAAGCGCGAATGTGGGTTTCGGCCACGAGCTTCATCACCCCCACGAAAATGCCATGTGGCACCTCTCTTGCCACTTGCAGCGGAAGATTCGCCTGCACGTGGTCACAGCGAAGTAGTGCGAGGGGGGAAATCTCGGTAGATTGTAAGTGAATGTACCGCGAAATTTCATCTAGGGAGAAATTTTCGCGATATTCTTCAATATTGCAGCTACTCGTTAACGACTATTATAACGAATTCGTAAGAAAAGGGGGGTGTTATAGAAAATCAGCAAAAAAGGGGGGTATAGTAGAAACGAGGCTCCCCATAACACCCACCCCTCACAAGCTACCCGGGGGTGTACAATTATGGGGGGGTGTTTTGTCCGGGAGTATACGGTATCTCTGTCCTAGGGTTTATAGGATCAATGCAGGATACAGAAGAGTAGTATAATCTAACATAAGGGTGGTGACTTAGGGCATTCTTTAGGTGATGAATTTGAACTGCATTTCAGCATGTTACATCTCAGGAGAAACGGGAAGGTAAGATCCACTATTTAAATTACACCAGGTCAGAGGCTACAACAGATTTTGTAACCGTATTTCATGTACATACATATAGGCCATAGACTTCACAAATGACCAGTCCCCGTCCTCCCCACCACCAGCAACCACCCACCGTGTCTTTCCTCAGCAGCCAGAGAGAGTTCCCCACGAACCCCAGGCTCGTGCCCACATTGGCCAGCACAGCCAGCCACAGGTGCGCCCTACCAGCCACAGGTGCGCCCTGCCAGCCACAGGTGCGCCCTGCCAGCCACAGGTGCGCCCTGCCAGCCACAGCCAGCCCCAGCACCACCCCCTTCACCACCACCAACAGCGCAACATTCTCTTCTCCGCCACCACCCACCGCACTGCCTGCCCTAGCATAAATGTCCGCGCCAGCTGGCGCAGGTCGTCTGACATCAGTGCCACGTCAGCGGCCTCCATGGTTGCTGCGGACGCAATGGTGCCCATGGCGATGCTGACATCAGCGGCTGCAATGGCGGGTGCGTCGTTGATGCCATTCCCCACCATGCAGGTGACGCCGTGGGATGCCTTGAGTGCTGCTATGGGTTTACTTTTGAGTCGACTCAAAAGTCAACTCGTTGATCCCCGTCTCCCACCATGCAGGTGACGCCGTGGGCTGCGTTGAGTGCTGCTATGGCCGTCACCTTGCCCTCCGGTAGCAGCTGAGAGAGCACCTCCACTGAAGGGTGCAGCTGACGAGAAGGGAGGGCCGGCATGAGGGAGAGAGGGGTTATGTAGAGAGAGAGTATTGAGACGTCTTAAAACGCCACCTTGCCCTCCGGTAGCAGTTGATATATTACTTCCACTGATGGGTGCAGCTGACGAGAAGGGAGGGGGGTACAAGGGAGAGAAGAGGGGGCATGGAGAGGAAGAGAGGGAAGGAGGGAGAGAGATTCAGATGTAGTGGAAGAGAGGGAAAGTGGGAAGGGGGAGGGAATAAGAAGATTAACAGGGGGAAGGAAAGGGAGGGGAGGGAGCTTGGAAGAAGTAGAGAATGGGAACACGAATGAAATGTGAAAGAAGGTCGATATGTCGTTGTTCCCTTGTCATTCCCCTCTCTCTCCCCCCCCCCCCACCCCCAAACCTCCAACTACCCCCCAGTTTCTCCTCCTTAGGCTCGAAGCCGCAAACCCCACACCCCCCCTCCTCTCCCCCATCTTTCCCACTTCACCCCCTTTCTTCCTCATCTGCTATGCCCCTCCCACCTGCTGCTGCATTGCAGTGGCAGCACCCGCATTGTCGCCCGGCAGCATGGCCACGTGCAGCCCCAGACTCCTCACCAGCTGCCCAACCGCTTCCACAGCTTCGGTCCGAAGCGAGTCAGCTGCGGCAAGCACTGCCTTGGGGTGGTCATCCACGCCGAGCCACACCACCGTGGCTCCGAGGCTGAGCCAGTGGGAGAGCAGCGCGGGGGAGATGGCTGGTGGGACGCGGGAGGGTGAGAGAGGAAGAGCAGTGGAGAACCTGTTCGGATGGCCGTCCATAGGGAGGCAGGTGACCGTAGCTTTGAGATTGAGGCAGAGTGAGAAAAATCGATGGGTCGATGGTTGGGTGGAGCGGGTGGGGTAGGCTTTTTTGGAGGTGGGGAGGGGAGAGGGAGGGAGTTGTGGCATTACGGCATGAGTGGGGAGGGCCAGAGCACACAACCGGTAGGGAAGCTGCCATGAAGACGGCCGGGGAGGCTAAGGGATAAAGGGGAGTGGAGTGGGGTGACATGTAAGTGACAGGGCAGGCACTGGCCGCGTGATGCCACAGATGGTGCCAATGGAGACACGTGCTGAGATTTGAACAAGATGGGCGAATGCATGGGCTTCGCATGTTTGCGTGATGAATTTTGAGTCGACTCAAAAGCCATCTGGCCACGTGAAGGCAGAGGCGACAAACCCAATGGTGCTATTGGAGACATGTGGAGAGATTTGAACAAGATGAATGCAAGCATGAGCTCAACACACCATGCGCACACCATGCACACACCATGCACACACCATGCACACACCATGCGCACACCATGCGCACACCATACACACACTATGCGCACACCATGCGCACACGACGCACACCATGCGCACACCATGCGCACACCATGCGCACACCATGCGCACACCATGCACACACCATGCACACACCATGCACACACCATGCACCCACCATGCACACACCATGCACCCACCATGCACACGTGGCTCTGCCATGCTGCCTACTGTGTTTCGCATGAAAGACCTTCCAACTTAGCTACGGTGAGATGGTGGGGGAGCAAAGGGGAAGGTGAGGCTTGCAGAGGCGGAGGATGCGGGAGGCGGAGAGACACTTGGCTCGTGCATGGGGTGACGTAGGAAGGGGCATGGCAGAGCATGATGGGATGAAGGGTATGGAACTGTGAGATGAATGGGGTGGGGGGGCATGGGCGTGGGGATGACATCATATGGAATAAGGAAGGGAGGGCAGAGGGAGTATAGGGAGATGCCAGGGAGGGAGCGGAAGAGAGGACTTGGAAAGTGAAGGGCCGTGGGGAAGACGGAAGACGATGAGAGGAGAGGAATGTGGTTTAGGAAGAAGGAACGTGAGGGGAAAGGGAGAGCGGAGAATGGAGCAGGTGTTATGTTGGAAAACAATGCTTGTGCAATGACCTGCAAAAAAAGAAAGTTGCTCTCATTGAGAGTTGAACTCAAGACCTCCCGCTTACTAAACGGGTGCTCTAACCAACTGAACTATGAGAGCCGATTCTGAGGCCGTGAAGATTGAAAGTGGCATGGTAATCCATATGCTTCTCAAAAAGCCGAGTTACCCTGTCTCCACGGTTTCGGCTGCTAAATATTTGGAGGAGTGTGCAAGCCCCAGTAAGGATCAACAGAAGCACCTTGGTTGTAAAATCGGCTGTTTGATGAATGGAAGAAGGGGAAAGGGGGGTGGGGGTTGGGAGTTGGGTAGGAGAGAGGGATGTAACGGAAGAAATGGGAGGGAAAAAGGGGTTGGCAGGAGGAGAGGGGTGTTGGGAGAGGAGACACACAGATTCCGACCAACGTGCAGCCAGCTTCTACCACCTCGCTCTTCTTCTCTCCCATGCCTACTTGCCTGCTGCCTCCACCCACTCGCCACTGACTGCCTCTATCCCTCACCGCCTCGACTGCAGCTGCTACTACGAGGCATGGCCCTGCCGTGCTGCTCAGCCAAGTGCTGCTGCTGAGGTGGAAGACAGCTGGCGATGGCATTGCAGGACGGCAAACTAGTAGTGCAGCGATGAGAGGCAGCGCTGGAATGAGACGCATGGGGATGCAGAGCTCAGGCTCATTCTGCCTCGTTGGTGAAATAGTGCAGAGCCACAATACTGGGTGCGAGTACGTGAAGGGACAAACTGAGACACGTGTGATTCAGATTTCTCCCCCTACTCCGCTTCTCTCACCTCCGCTATGGCACGTCGCACTGCCTGCCATCAGCTGAAGAGCCATCCACAATCTCATATCCATGGCTTCTGCTACCTCAACCTGACCCCCCCATGTGTCAGCCTCCCACGTGTCAGCCTCCCACGTCTCAGCCTCCCACGTGTCAGCCTCTCACGTGTCAGCCTCCCACGTGTCAGCCTCCCACGTGTCAGCCTCCCATGTGTCAGCCTCCCATGTGTCAGCCTCCCACGTGTCAGCATCCCATGTGTCAGCCTCCCATATGTCAGCATCCCATGCGTCAGCCTCCCATGTGTCAGCCTTCCATGTGTCAGCCTCCCACGTGTCAGCCTCCCATGTGTCAGCCTTCCATGTGTCATCCTCCCATACCTCCCTCCTGCCCACCTCGACCCCACTCTCCGCTGACCGCTTCACCGCCAACACTGCTGCTGCATCTTACGAGTCTGCCATGCTGCCTGGTTGTGAATCATGGAGATGCGTTGGCTCTGCACGACTAGTCCAGACTTTGAGTCGACTCAAAAGCACCACTGCTGCTGCATCTCACAAGTCTGCCATGCTGCCCCATTGGGTGCCAGAGAGATGCGTTGGGTCTTCATGACTAGCAAGATGCTAGTCGTGAAGATGCTGCTGGTGCAGCAAAGGGGAGGGGACTTTGAGGGGGAGAGAAGGAGGAAGGCTGGGTGTGCTGCTGAACGGAGAAAGTGGAAAGTTGAAGATATCTGATGGCTGCACTTCACACAGAAATGTTGATGTTACTTTTGAGATTTCTCAGAAGATATCTGATGGCACTGCACAGTGCACACAGGAAACCAACGCTCGGCTTCATGCTGCCTCGTTAGCAAAGTGGCGCCCAGAAGCGCCATACTGGCCCGGGATGGACAAAAAAGCAGAGGAGGGAGGGATGGTTGCATCGACTGATAGATGGAAGAAGAAATGTATTATTATGATAAAATCGTGGTGAACAGCCATTCATATTTCTTCACCATTTGTATGGGGCACGGAGACGGTACTGTGACATCCTCCTGTTAAGCTTTCTTTACCCCTGCCGCCCTGCCGCCCTGCCGCCAACAGCTAAGGGGCTGTCATCACACAACGAGACCTCGTTTTCGCAAAGACACCAACCCTAGGGTGTGGTTACCTTGTTCGAATTGCCACCTTTTCAATCAATCCATGGTCGGTTGAATGTTGGGCGCGATAACACCATCAAGCCAGTGCAAATGCCAACAACAGGACACCACGGCCCGAGTAGGTGCGTGCCTACCCGCATACGGTGTGTGCCTGACATAGAGTGGCACAAGGCCTAGCATAGTACAAAAGCACTGATGATCACAAGGCTGAAGTGCCTTGGTAAAGATATCAGCAGTGTTGGCCCGAGTGGCCATGTAAGCAAGACGAAGCTGACCACGCTGCTGCAACTCTCGAGCAAGGAAGTAGCGCAGAGCAATGTGCTTCGTTCTGTGCTCCAGTCTGTGCTCCTGACACAAGGCAAGCATGGCCTTGTTGTCGACGTACAGAACTGGAGGAGAACGAGGCGCCTCTCCCAAGTCGGTCAGCAGGTAGGTGAGCCAGCGTAACTCCTGTGCAGCCATGGCCCCGGCGTAGATCTCAGCCTCAAAATTGGAGCTGAGAACAGAAGACGAGTGGGTAGACCACCAAGAGACAGAGCCGGAGCCAAGGCTGAAGGTGTAACCCTGTGACGACCGCTGCGTAGCCAAGTCGTCAACACAGGAAGCGTCAGCGTGACCAATGAGGACAACTCGAGCCCGTCCTCCAAGCACGAGCCCCATGCCCGACGTACTGCACAAGTAGCGCAACACCCTCTTAGCTGCATCCATGTGCTCCTTCCTGTGTCTGCCAGGAGTGACATAGCGTGCTAGAATGCTAAGAGGGTAGGCAAGGTCAGGTCGAGTGCAGGTCATCAGGTACATGAGGCAGCCCACAAGCTCTGGATACGGGCCACTCGGCTCTACGGACTCGTCCGAAGGTGGAGTTGAGAGCGAGTGACCGGTAGGCAGAGGAGTGGACTGTGTCGAGGAGTACGTGAAGCCGAAGCGCTGAAGGACCTGCTGCACCATGTGTGACTGAGTCAAGGTAATGGTGCGCTGTGCTCTATCCCGGGTGATCCGCAAGCCAAGATAGCTTGTCAGCTCACCCAGGTCTGTGCACGTGTGTCTCTTCTGCAGCTCCGACTTCACGTGGGCGAGTGCCTCAGTGTCAGCAGTAGCAAAGACTAAGTCGTCTACGTACACGAGAACGTAGAACGACGGCAGAGTGGTGTCAGTGCGAAGAAACAGCGACGGGTCAGCAGTGGAAGGAGCAAACCCAAGAGAAGCAAGAGTCGTCCTCAGTGTGTCGTGCCACTCACGGGGTGCCTGGCGGAGACCGTAGACTGGCCGCCGGAGGCTCCACTGGGTACCAGGAGGAAACGACCCAGTGAAGCCAGGTGGGCGGCGCAGCCAGATCTCCTCGTGCAGGCTGCCCTGTAGGAAGGCTGTGCTGAAGTCAAAAGAGTGTTGCTCGTAGTCACGCTGAGCGGCGACGTGCAGCAGCACCCGAAGAGTGGTCATCTTCGGGGTAGGGGAGAAGGTATGGAAGAAGTCAACTCCCTGTCGCTGTCTGAAGCCTCGTGCAACGTAACGCGCCTTGAAGACAGGCGGAGAACCCGACGGCCGCTTCACCCTGAAAATCCACATGCCACTGACGATGTTCGCCCAAGGCGGGGGAACCTCGTCGACGTAGGTGCCTGTGGACTTCCAAGAAGCCATCTCTGTGTCCATGGCTGTCTGCCACTGAGAGCGCGGGGTCGGGATGTCTGGTGCATCCCGGTCTCCCTCAGGGGCAAGCAGCATGGACACGAGATGAGGTAAAGCAGCGGCAAAGCACTCAAACTCCTCCTGTCTGTCCTCAAGGACGTCCGTGCCAAGAGCACACTCACCCCCGACGGACGGAGGACAAACAGACGCAGACTCAGACTCAGCAACAAGACTAGCGGCGTAGTCTAGACGACAGGCGGCAGCAAAGTCAACAAGCTCAGCAACGAGAGCAGACGCAGCAGTGGACTCAAACGAAGGGTCAGTGACAGCAGT